TTGATAAAATGATATCTTCAAACCCTCCACAATACGTTAATGGCAATATTTTTTAATTAGCTCTAGTCTAATTAGTCTTAGCGTTAGTTTTTAAGTCCAATTAGCCACTCCAATTTAAACATGTCCAATAACAACACTGGCGATCATGACTAATATTTCTGATGACGAAATAATGAACTTGTACTGGTTCTGGATTTCGTTTTCCAAATGTTTTATTCCGACTTTCTTGCCCTGCAGAACATGTATTATGATCAGGTGTTTGGCAGATCAATATTAGTATGGTACGGGTGAGCAGATCAGTAATATCGATACGAATTTCAGTATGGTATGGGTGACTGATCAGCCTGGTATAGGGGGTGTGTAAAATACCAAATTTAAAAAATTCATACCATACACCATACTGATTCTGGTGTTATATATATTACGTAGCATTAGGGTTAGGAATTATAGACGGTATGGTTTTTGATCTGCTGTAATCTCCTGATATTGAAGGGATCCAAGGTCAATTATACTGCTAGCCGATGGGTTATCATACATCAAATTGTTTGATATGCGTATCTTCGACTACAGTTATGTATTTGCTTTCTGAATTTGGCATTTTGAACCAATTTACGTATAAATTTACCAATGTTATAGATGGCCAATTCGAGGGATTATTCAATTTCGAACATTCATAGATAAAATCATATTTAGATATACGTTTTCTTTTTCAAAAAAACATCGAATTAGATCAGAATCCACTAATAATTTTAACTCCTAAATATCTAGAAACTGAAAAAAAGTAGTTCATATTAAATGAATACACAGAATGAAATTGCTTATTTATGTTTTGACTCAGAGAATAAATTCTGTTGCAGAGTATGTAGAAAACCTGTAATTATATTTAATGATTTACTATGATCAGTTACAGGTCCATTTTGCATATTGTCTTAACGATAATTGAAGATCTTGTCTCAAACACTTAGGATTGATTAACCTTATCCTCGACTAATTTGGTTCGTATCAATGCCCGTAACTATAAGCAGAAAGATTGATAGTCAAGTTATTTGAATTCATTAATACTAACCATATAATTATATTCAATTATTCATTAACACTCACCTTTATTCAACTAATTAGGTCCCAAACTTAAATTCGATCTTTTTATTATCGTTGTCAAAATTTATGACCATGCTCGCGCAAAATTTTATCGAGCAAATCGGCTACGTAATGAGTGACCGTCATAATCACTAATTCTTTAACAAAGTGGATTCAACTTGTATAAATAAATTAGGTTATGAGTCCCAATTATCAGTGATGGTATCTAACACTAATATATAAACGGTACGTACGTACTCTAAATAACCATGTAATCTAGCTAGTGTTAATCTGCACATCGACATGCATCGTTGGGGTGTTCTGTGGCCTATGTAAATCAAAACTATGTGTGGTATCATATAAAAATTAAATATTGGAGATTTTTTATA